CCTAACTCTACACGTGCCATGAATGCTATACGTTAGATACGTGTTGGGCAGCCCGTAACTTCACACGTATCCGATGTTACGTGATGCACAACCCTAATCTCCAAGCGTACTGCGTGGCCACAATGCGGATGTCGTTGCGCCACGCACGACGCATGACTCATGGATAATGCACGAGATGAGTGGGAACTGTCGCAGCGGTCGGGCATGAGTGAGAGTGAAAGCGTGAAAGTGAACGATGAATTTTAACGTCAATAAGATTGCCTTTAAAATATCTATTCACGCTCTTCTCTAGGCGAAGCACGAGTCGCGCGTGGCTGAACACAATTGAATGTTCGTAATATTTTGCGTGAGTACTGCGCTTTCTCCAGTTACATCGAGGATCGATCAATTCCTTGATTCTATGGCAACGCAAATTTGCCCGCAAAAAGTCCTGGGTATGATCCAACTTGACTGCCTGGAAATATGATTAATTAACTTGAGTAAGTTGCAAGCTGCTTCTCCAACACAGTGCAACAAGCTATACATTTGTGCGAAGTTTAATTTCACGGGCCTGTAACTGAGAAATTTTTTATCTGTCCACGCGCAGATTTGGACAAGCCCACCTTCCGCGAACTTACTGGCAACGTGTTACTAACTTACAAGTAATTGCATTCGTATGTACTCAAGATTCGATAGAAAGTTTCTCAAATGATTATTCTAGTTTTAACCGTCGACGCGGTTCACTGACTATAGAGGCACGGCTTCTAAGTGGTCCCGAGTTTGTCTTCCCCTATACTGTACATCAGGAGGCAATCGAGTTTGTTTCCCTTGGACGAGGTAGTCTAGTTTTTTTCCACTACACGTATAATTTCCTAGTTTATTTTCAACTCAAGGAAGCCCTCAGGTTGTTTTCCCCTCAAGTACTCAAATCGGTTCCCATTCAGTGAGACATTCGAATGTTTTTCCTCGACGAAGGGATGTAGTTATTCTGTTAGCGCCGAGATTTTCCAATTGGCTTCACGCTCTCGTGCAAGCGCCTTATCGCTACAAGCTGCCGCAACGTATCTGTGACGTGGTCTGAAGAAAGAGATACTTTGGTATGTTGTATTTTGCAGCAACCTTTCTTTTGTTCCTGAGAAGCGGAGACTAGAAAATATTGGTGGATAAGAGAGATTTATTGATCATTATAGAATGCTGAGATCGGAAGCAGGAATTTTCGTTTCAGATAATATTTGTTTTTAATAATAACACATATTGTTTTTATTTCCAAAAATGATGAATATTTATGTCGTTTATTATCTTCATGTTTGGTTAGTTAAGACGCTGGTAGAATAGTTGAGAATATAATGTAAATATTAACATCGCATAGTACAATGTAGAATGTTCGAAACTAGTGTAGTGAACTATTAATTTTTTATCGTTCAATAATTAAAGAGGTCCCTTAAGAATTAATCAAGAACTAATGCTTGACCATTGCTGATAAGCTGTCAATTTTTAATTGCATTACACTAGATAGACGCCATTCAGCATTTCCGAACTATTAGGTAATTAGAAGAAACTGTAGCATCATGAACACTATAGTCTACAAAGTTAGTTCGTACTATTTATTAATTGCATAGATTTCCAGTTACAAGGCACAACAGCTATAAAGAACCGGTATTTTTGGTAAAAAATATGTGCCGACTTGGTTTTGGTGTCGGCTTCAAGCCGACTTGGTTAAATCACTTTGAAGTAGACATGGTTTATTTACCTTGAAGTAGACTTGGCTTATTCACCTTGAAGTAGACTTGATTTGTTCACATTGAAGCAGATTTGGTTTATTCACCTAGAAGTAGACTTGGTTTATTCACCACGAAATCATTGAGCTGTTGGCGGCAAATAGCGAAGCCGGATTCAAAGCGGGATCGCTCTGCATCGAGCGTTGCAGTTACCGAAAAATAAGATCCCAGCATATTCATTTAACGGTCAATTGAATCCTAGCACACTCAATTTAACGGCCAATTGAATGATGAATCCCAGCTCACTCAGCCTAACGGTCAATTTGAATTTACGATTAAAATATCAACAAGAATATTGATCATCGCAAAGGTTTTGCCGCTATTGCATAATCACGATAATATTCCTCGTAGCTTCACGTTTCTATTGCAAAAAATAACTTTCAATCTTCACGGAAATGCCTCAAGATTAAGTAGAGGCTCTGGGCGAGTTGTGATTAAGGTTTTAACGCCAGCCTGCTTCCCGACACTATAATATGGCATATAAGGCATGATTCTCTTATTGCACCATGCATCTAACTTATACACGTAGAGTAGAGAATATTTTATAATAATAAAATTATGAGGCCCTGGCAATCTAGATTGGCCCAGACAACTGACCTACGTAGTTAGTAACTGCGGAATACAATATACGAAAGAGACAAACGAAATATTATTTCAACGGCGTACGAAATAAAATTCTTTGTCAGTAGCTAAAATGTAAAAAATCCTCCTGCAAAACATTCAGCCCGACATGAATTGATGTCTCAAAAAAAGACGTAATATGAGAATATGAAAAAGGAGCGCAACTTCGGTTCATTTTTTAGGGAAGTTTCCATTTTTTTAAGTAATAGAAACGATATTTTAAAACTGCACCGCTTTCAATTTTTAATCATAAATGGGTAACCAAATGTCGTACCATTCACCCCAGGAAACAGACGCTGAAAGCAAGAAGCACTTTTTTCTAATGAACCTCATTCTACAGAAAGTAAAAGGCTGGGCAAGCTTGTGAGTTGTTGGAGCGAGAGGAGTCCACTTTCTCCGTAGGATCAGACGACTGAGGGCGCTGTTGACCCTTTGCATCCAAGCGGCAGAACGGAAACAAGACTTTTTTACCTTCATAATCCTTTGTAACGAGTTAATGGAGTTCTGAAGTGAGATGTCACAAAAGCAATCCGTACGCGTGGATTATTAAGTGTTTATCTAAATTTTCAATGCCTACATAAATTCATTTTAAAGGTAATACAAAAACATAATGCCAAGCGAAAGCTATCAACAAGTGGAATATTGGAGCCAGAAACCCTCGACCAACATTACTCGGCACGAGTGACCATTACTCAGCATAAGTTGCCATTACTCAGCAGTCAGCACTAGTTGCCACCACTCAGCACTAGTTGCCACCACTCAGCACTAGTTGCCACCACTCAGCACGAGTTGTCATCACTCAGCACGAGTTGCCACCACTCAGCACAAGTTGCCACCACTCAGCACGAGTTGCCACCACTCAGCACGAGTTGCCACCACTCAGCACGAGTTGTCACCACTCAGCACGAGTTGCCATCACTCAGCAATAGTAGCCACCACTCAGCACTAGTTGACACCACTCAGCACTAGTTGCCACCATCCACTCAGCACGTGTTGCCACCACTCAGCACGACTTGCCACCACTTAGCACGCTCAAATAACTCAGCCGTACTCAAACAAGCCAGTATATTCTGATCTTTAGGCATACCCAGCCGGGGAGTATCAAATAAGATAAGGTAAAACGGTATATGAGGTATAATTGGTAGTCAGCCAGCTTAGGGGTGTGTATCCATTACAAGGTGAGGCTCCATCCTATTCAGCATCCGCCTCAAGATCAACTAGAGGTGCAGTCGAAGGCTCGTTTAGCGGGGACCAATTCAGAGTGAAAGAATTCTGTATATGTATGACATTCATCGTTCATATATTTTTCAGCCTTGTATAGAATCTTATTTGAAAATACAGATCTGCTTCATCGCATGATATTTCCTTTATATTATAAATCGTTATCGTTAAAATCTGAGTACTGGTCACAATTTTTGCCTATTTGATCTCTACCTTAACAATATACATGTATACTCTCATGAATTCTTAATACATTTCTCAATTTAATTATGTTCAGCAGAGAAATTTTAATACGACTAACAACTTGTCGCGTCTCAGTTTTATACACAAGTTTGATCATGCATTGTATGAGCGCGTCTTGATATATGGTGTAGGTGTCCTTCATCACGGCCGCTCGTCTTCAGAGGCCGCTCGTCTTCATCCGCCAGGAAAAATGGACGTCATCACGAACGCCCACTTTTTAAAATAAAAGACCTGCATCGGCCAGAAAACACGGCCGCCTTCATGGAAATTAACACTGATCTGATGATCAAACACGCACTTTAATCTTGACCGCTGTGCCTCACCCGCACTTAAATCATCACCGCTTGCTCTTCAATCAATACTTCGATATGCCTCAACGTTACCATAATAAAATGATGTTACGCATGAGTAAAGATAAGAATTAAAGACTTCTCCTTCATAAGTTAGACTGCAGTTTAGTTACGACCGAGAAAATAACTTATTGATCATTTCTTTACTTATCTTTAAGTCACCGCAATTAAGGAATGAGATCTCGTATGACAAAATAATTTAAATGTATTTTGTACGAAGTCACTGACACGAATGCGGTCACTGAATATAGGAAAAGTGGCGGATAATTTGGTATGAAACTTTTCGATGTCAGCGACCGTGGAATTTTGAACTGCAGAGAGACACAACCACTCCGATCATTGGCTGCGGGCCATTGTCCGCTCTGATCATTGGCTGCGAACCATTGTCCGCTCCGATTATTGGCTGCGGGCCATTGTCCGCTCCGATCATTGACTGCGGGCCATTGTCCGCTCCGATTATTGGCTGCGGGACATTGTCCACTCCGATCATTGACTGCGGGCCATTGTCCGCTCCGATCATTGACTGCGGGCCATTGTCCGCTCCGATCATTGACTGCGGGCCATTGTCTGCTCCGATCAGTGGCATCCCATAATTACGTTAGCTTGTTCATAAGCTACTTCAGACCCTTTCACATGCATTACGAACGAGTTCTCTTTTATTTAAATTTAATTTGGGTTCCGGTGAATTATCAGCCCTTGGACGGAACGAGTCCATGCAATGATGCGGATCGTTCAGCTTTCACGCGTCGTTCCGGACACGCTTGCCGACATACCCTATGTATTTCTGAGGACGGTGCTGACGTGACAGCTGCAATACTCGCCCCTGACGGTGCTGACGTGACAGCTGCAATACTCGCCCCTGGCGGTGCTGACGTGACAGCTGCAATGGCAGCTGCATTACTCGCCCCTGGCGGTGCTGACGTGACAGCTGCATTACCCGCCCCTGGCGGTGCTGACGTGGCAGCTGCATTACTCGCCCCTGACGGTGCTGACGTGGCAGCTGCATTACTCGCCCCTGACGGTGCTGACGTGACAGCAGCATTACCCGCCCCTGGCGGTGCTGACGTGACAGCTGCAATACTCGCCCCTGGCGGTGCTGACGTGGCAGCTGCATTCGGAAGGTTCGCGCCTTCATTCGACGTCACTCGCGTCTTCCTAAAGGAACTTACTAACTTGGTTAAGATAAATTAAACGAAACAAAATGGCCAGGTTGTGAAGGTATAATTGTGAAAACGATGCGCAGCTCGAGAAAATTAGAAGCCTTTAAACTGTTGATATCGCAAAAAAATTAGTTGAATGCTTGATGTGAAGAACTTTGTAGGTCGTTGGCAGAGTCATCGGTCAAACCTGGCAAATTATAAAAAAGTTTTTGGTCTCTGAGAATGAGCCAACTGCATACACCCCATTAGCTCAATAAAAATTCTCAGACCGACTCGTGTTATGAATAATTCATATAAATACTGCTTGAAGAGCAGCATTAAATTGTGTAGTCTAGAAACCTTTATTTTACGTGTTCAAGATATTAGAACCCTGTTATTCAGGTGAGCATCAGAAATCAATGACGTCTTCGACCAGGAAGAAAAACTACAGCCAACCACGGACATTTTTCAGGACGGCATGACTCGGCAGAAATTATTTTATTTCTGTGCCTAGAGACAAACTGCTTTCCAACCAACACTTGGAGGCTACCGGGACTCAAACACAGATAGTGATGTTATTTTTTGCAGTTCACACTTGATGTTACTGGTGTATTCTTCTACCATTTGAGAGCGCCCGAAGAATACTGTTGACAAAATAATGTGCAAACTGCCATCGGCTGTCGGTGCACCGCATGATGACAGCATATACTTTATTCTACATAACTCAGAAAACGCAACAAAATTGGAATGAAGGAAATCGCTTTCTATAAACTACAGTTTGAACATGAGATTAAGTTTCTTCCAGTGTAATAATTATCTTGCATTATCATTAACATAATTACTTGATAAAAGACAGTTGCAAATTCGAATACAATTCATAATACAGTTGTTTTACATAACTTTCTATATTGGGATGAATAGATACTGGATTTTTCTTCACTGCCGTAAGATAACGTGGCAAGAAATGCAGCGTGCGCATGAAGCAATAAGACTGCAGCATCGGTGCGTGCATTTTGTGTGGCCCAGCGTATACGGTGGATGACCGGGGAGGATTCAGACCTAATATTCTTTAAATCTATTGCAAGATCCCATCAAACGAAGACAGAGATCTCGACAACAATGTTCAAATCTTTCTCAACAGCGTCTGAGTAATAATTGTGGTTAAATTATAGCTTTAAAATACATTTATTTACAAAATTACTAATCATGTTTAACACTTTTTCTACGTCGGCGTTATCTAGAAACGCTGACGCGGAACTTGGTCTTCGCTCGACGTCTTCTTGGACTTCTTTTCAAGCGGCCTAATAAAAGAAGATGTCAAGTTTTTTAATGGAAGAGAAAGACAACTTTCCAAGATAGATGCCCTCCTGGCAAACGCGAACGGTGCTTCCTCGCCACTATATACGCCTGCAGCGTAGAACTCCAACTGAGCGCCGACACTGAGAACTGTGCGTATTCCCACTACGGACAACGACAATGCAATTCCCTTTGTCAGTATCACTCACAAAAAATATAACTCAGTACTCACTGCAGTGAATGACAGAGAGCGCATTTTCTCGTCGACGAAAACTTGAGGTCACGGACAGACAGACAGACAGACATGGCGAGCACAATAGTGCATTTTTTCCATAAATGAGAAAATGCGCTAAAAAGGAGTGAGACTTTTTCCTAAAAGCGATGCACTTTTTGCCTTTGGCTGGGTTATCCTGACCCACTTTGGCCCAGTAAAAGGTGTATCAGTGCTACTTCCTTTCTCTGATCTAGTTGTGGGTAAGAAAGTGCGTAATTATTTACACAAGTGTGAGTGTATCTTGCTTGTCGAAGTTTACGATCATTTGTACGCTTTGGAGCGCATAATTTATGATCCTTCGATTCCTGATGAGGCAAATGCCGAACAAAACTTTCCATGTAGAAGTGTTTTCTTTAAAGACAATATCCCGATAATGGTACATGTCAAAATGTTGCATCTTTTCCAGTTACTCGTGCTTGTCATCCTAACGAGAAAAAATCGTATTATAATAACAATTTTCTGCCTTCAAAGTCGTTTATGGGAAATCTTTCACGTGTGAGACCACCCAGAAAATCAACTTTTTTTTCTTCAGCTTTTCGATGAAATAATTTGCCGGACTTTCATGCGCATAGGAAAGTCCGCGCCAAGTTCATCACCCATCTGTTGGTGCAGTCACTGCACCGTAACAATGAGTGAGCACCATCATGCTGCTGGGCTTTCTTAAGAACAAAAGACTGGTCAGAACAACGTTATGGAAGTCATTCCTCATTAACAATGCCCGATTAAATATGATACAAGGGGGTATATATTTTAATCGCTGCAATCATGATAACTATTTCAAACGTTTTTTAAAGTAAAATTCTATCGGTGCATTTGAGAGCTTATTGGTTCTCACATTTGATGGCAACGAATTCGTTTAGCACTGGAAAGATTTTCGTTACGGGTAGAGAGTTTCAAAAACGATTTAAATAAACGTCTAATCGAGAGACTTAACTAGGAGAAACTGGGTGGTAGCGCAGGGGCATTAGAACTGCTTTTGTGCATGTGCTGCGGCATCGCTATGTTCCAGCGCCTGAAACTGCCACTTAATTTCCTAATCCCTCGAGGCGATGGCAATTGGGCTTGTGTTCGCGGCTTTCCCCGCTATACGAGAACACTGATCTATAGATGACATCAAAATCTGTCACGGAACCTGGGAAATATTTTCTCTGAGTCCGGATGCAATTTCTTTCTCCTCTGAACTCAGTTTGACAGCACACGAATACTACATCATTTAAACGTGGCACAGGCGACCAGAATTCGACCGATTATGGGAAAATAACTTATGTTATAAATCGAGATGCCAGAGCTAATCGTTAATGTCACGTAATTAACGCAAGCATCAATAAGTGTAGCGAAACTTGTTCTTAGGGAACGAAAATGTCTAACATCGTGCAAGCAACTGCATGCCACAATCATTTATTATGGCGTGACAAGAAGTGTGCCACAATTGTCCACAATTAATGGCGTCACAAAAAATCTTGTCTTGCCATCGTCCGCTATGGCGTCTCATTCATAAAAGCGGCTATGGTGTCAACCGAGAAAGCATGATAAACTTCAAAAAGTCCACGAAAAAAAACATCAACTCATCAAAATTTACATGGGAATCGAATATGAATTTAAGAATAACATTTTCATTTCCAGCGGTTTTTCTCATCTTTTAATTGGTGTTGACTTTAATGACCTCTAAAGTATCCCATTCGAACCTCATCCCCATAGCAACGACTGACTTACACCAGGGGCGTCCCTAGCAACGACGGCACTTGTTTCCATCTTCTCTTGGCCGTGGCTTGTTCCTACAGGCAGACTTGAATCGTAAGTTCATTTAAACTTACCCTGCAGTGACTTCTCAAAGTCCTGGTAATATCAATATGCAACATGTGAAAAATACCGGTCAGATTGGTATTTCTAGAGCGAAAAAAAAAAGATAAAAATTACCTGTGCATACCTGAAGCATAGCCAGTACAATAAAAACAGTATTTTCAAACACAATTGAATGAATATATGCGTAACAAAGAAATTCTGCAAAAATAACCCAATATGTGACGTGAAATAATAAATATCGTAAAAAAAGATGTTCATTGTCTCTTCACAACCAAGCCATTAAAATGCAATGAGGAGTGCAGCTGTGACTGCTCAGTGCACAGCTGCCACGACCCGACGGTATGGGAGATATGTTGACGCTCCTGCCTCAACATACCGCATGGCGCTCTCAACATACCGCATGGAGCTCTCAACATACCGCATGGAGCTCTCAACATACCGCATGGCGCTCTCAACATACCGCATGGAGCTCTCAACACACCGCATGGAGCTCTCAACATACCGCATGGAGCTCTCAACACACCGCATAGAGCTCTCAACACACCGCATGGAGCTCTCAACATACCGCATGGAGCTCTCAACATACCGCATGGAGCTCTCAACACACCGCATGGAGCTCTCAACAT